AAGATACCATTTTAATATAGCTTGTAATTGTTTGCAGGTCTATTCAACTTCAGTTGCAATGCTACTGACTGCAGTTGTTTCTGTATTTCTATTTGGATTTCACCTTTCCCTTGCCTTTTTCCTTGGTTCCACGTAAGTATGAACATTTGTTTTACTTTACCTTATCAAAAAAAAGTGTGAAGGTTTGTTTTACTGCTTCGTTTTAACCCTTGGGGAAAATTCCACAAATTTGACAAGGCACATAACTGAAAAGAATTTTATGCTTCTTTGCAGCGTTGTTTCAGTAGCAATATATTTGCACTCGACTAGCAAAGCCCGAAGATAACAATTGAGTTCATCTTCTGGGTGTTCTTTCTTGCCAAAATTGTAAGCGCATAACTATTTATCCTACAACAGCTTAAGAGTTGGCCCTGGATTTATCCTTGGAATGGAGTCGGCATTTGAATTTGGATACTTTTGATCAAGTACTAAAATCCTGCGTATGGGCACTTGCAAGGTGTTGTTTCAATCTTGAATTCAAATAGCAGTGCTTATTGCCCCAGGAAAGGGATTCGATATGTGCTGAAGATGTTATTAGTGCAAGAAGTCCTGGACAGTCCACTTTGTAACACGATACATTTGACGCGATGCATAATTTCATGAACATTTTTTTGCTCTTTCAAATGTAATTATGGACTAGTTGGTATTGTAATAGCAATTTGGGCAATAATGTGTTTGTACAATGTCCGTTGATGTTAATACTTGTTTTGGTGTTAATTTACATAGTTGTGTCACGATTCATCTTACATCCAATATTAGACCATCCAAATCACTTGTGAAATTTATTGTAATATGCAATCGTGCATAAAATGGCTCAAGGGGTAGGCTAGTAAAGCCTTTGTTTTATGCCCCAAAATTTTGAGGCCCCCAAAAAATTTAATAATATATTTTATCATTTTTTCGCTTAGATAAATGAAGCCTATAGATTAAAAGAAAAAAAAAATGAAATCTTTATTAAAAGAGAAAGATTATTTTCTTTTAATAGTAATTATATTAAAATTTTAAATTAAATTACTCAAATCTTCATATTAGCAAATAAGATTTTTTGTTAACAATATTCAAGGTAATATATTACAAATAAATGGCTAATATCTTATTAACATGAATTAACCTTCATCATTATTATTATTATAATAAAATTATTATTACTATGTGAAATTGCCCCTCCGGGGTAGGGGTAAGGTCTGCGTACACTCTACCCTTCCCAGACCCCACTAGTGAGATTATTACTGAGTTGTTATTGTTGTATGTGAGGTTAAAGGCTTAATGTCTTTTAAGACTATTATCATATAAATAAATAAAAAAGGTAACATTAAATTTTGTATATTTATATTCAATTAAGAATTTTAAGATTTTGCTACTAATCTAACGCATCTATGTACAATGCAAATAAAACTTCTGTACTTCAAATCCAGGCCTATTGTATGATGTACATTACCTTTGAAATTTTCTTGAATCTGCCTATTTTTTTTTTTATATCGATGAAAGTCACCTGATTCTCATGATATTTACGGAGGCTAGAAAATAAGATTCTACCAACTCTTTTCTAATCCGAGAAGTTAGCCATTAACATGCCATTTACAATTGTTGGATCATTAAATCGAAATAGAAAGCATAATTTGGTAAAATGCTAAATTCAACAAGCTACAAAAGTATCCAGAAAGCCAAAAATTTGACCTTTATGCAATGTTCATGTATACTTTCATCAGTACAATGTACACGATTAAGAGAAAAAAATTTAAAAAATACACATCTTAAAGAATCTACGCAGAATTCTTCAACCCAACAAGAAGCCAAAAATTCGGCCTTTATTCAATGTTCATGTATACTTTCATTTGTACAATGTACATGATTAAGAGAAAAAAATTTAAAAATTCACACCTTAAAGAATCTACACAGAATTCTTCAACCCAACAAGAGCAG